TGTTGTTAACGGAGAGTTCAAGGAGCTGAGCCTGGATGATTTCAAGGGGAAATACCTGGTCCTCTTCTTCTACCCCCTGGACTTGTGAGTGCGGGTTTCTCTCCTTTCAGATGGGCCTCCCGCCTTGCTGAAGGTCACCAGAAGCGCTGCAGATCCTCGCTGTTTGAAGTGGCGGGTTTTACCGTATTTGGGCTAGTCTTGCAAGGCAGATGTGTCTGTTTCTAGAGAGTGAGTGATAAAACTTGGGGGCAGATGGCCTTTGTGTTGTCAAGCAATGGATCTGGCGGCTGGAGAGCAGCATCTTCTCGCTGCCAGGACTGCTTCAGGAAGTAGAGGGGGCCTTGCGGGTGTGATTTCCCCTTGCTGTCAGATCCCAGGGGTGAGGGCATTGCCTTGCAGTTTGGGGTTGCCTGGGAGACTTTCTTCTTTTAAGCAGCAGGGCCAGCACAACTGCAGCCAGACAGCTCCAACGCAAAAGGTGAACACATGGGGTTGAGCCTGTCCAGAAGACTCGAATCACCAAGAGCATCCTGGTGTATGTGGGCACATGGAGGATTTAACCTGCAGTCCTTTCTGCTGTAGTTCCCAAAAACTCTCTGTCTGGAGAGTGTCTGGCAGAGAGAGTTTGTCCGTCTCTGCAAAAGATCTGTCTAGAACCAAGAGTTGAAAACTGCTCTGCCAGCTGGGTGGCTGTGGCTGTTGCTTTGAGACTGACTGAAACTAATCTTGAGCAGGAAACGTGGTTAAAATTATCAGGCTAAAGAAACTGCTCTGCTGCATTAGTGCCTAGAAACAGACATGAGAGTCGCTTCTAAAAAAGTCTCTGAAGAGATTGCAGAATCATTACAGCCTCTTCTCTCTTCCCACCCAGCACCTTTGTCTGCCCCACAGAAATTGTGGCTTTCAGCAACAAAGCAAATGAATTCCGTGATGTGAACTGTGAAGTGGTGGCAGTTTCTGTGGATTCTCATTTTTGTCATCTGGCCTGGATAAATACACCACGAAAGGTATGAATTGGGGGCTTTCTCTGTTCACTGTTTTTCCTTTTTACGAGAGCTGCTGGGAAGAGTTGAATGAACAATTGTGCAAACACTGATTTCAGTGAGCTGACTAAAGTGACACGTGAAGTGATCAGCTTCTACGTTTGATGACATAATTCTGATATCCATCTTTTTCTTGCTCTTTCTCTTAATAATTTGTGGGGGTTTTTTAAGTCTGTTTCACTCTCTTGATAGTCTTGTAGGTTATGTCATATCCATACGTGTTTATCTGAAAGGACAAATACTCGGTATTTATGTCACTGCCCTAAGCTGCTTGTTACAGCTGATGGTTTGCGTGCACCATCACAGAAAATGAACAGCAGCTGTTTAGTTTTATTGTTAACCAGTACCTACCAGAACCTACCAGTTGTGGCTTCAGAACAGAAGCAGAACCACCAGATTATTGGAGCACTTGCGTTATTAACTCTCACTTGCTGAAATGGTTCCACTTTTGCAATATGAACAGAGGTCCTCAGCTTTCTTCAGGGAAAGAAAGCGATAAAGACGGCCTTTTCCTGGGGAGGAACCCCTTTCAGATGCGTATAAAAACACGCCCTTCGATCACCTAAAGCACCTCACCGGGGTGGTTGGCTGTAGAGAATCAGAAGCGTCCCAGGAAGGCGCAGAAGCGCCTGTGCCCTCAGCCATCGCCCGTGCGGGCAGCGGTGCTCGCGGCCCGGGGCGCCTTCAGGTGCGCGGCTCTGCCGTCGTGCCGCACGGGGAGGGAGGAGAGGCGGCGAGATTTCACACGGCTTGGCTGAGCCTATCGAGAGTATTTCAGTTCGCAGCTGTAAAACGTGGCTGCGGACGGGCTCCTCCGCCTTACGCTCAGCCTACGCCAGTCGGGCACGGCTCGGGGCACGTGTAGCAGAACGCCCCGCAAAGGGCGGGAGGAATTCTGTGGTGGTGCAGGCAGGAGAGGGACACCCGGAGAAGCGAAGGTCTTGGTTTCTCCGGCATGTGTGCTCAAAGCTGTGCGTACGAGAACTCCGCTGCAGACAAGCGTTTGCAGGATCAGGGTCTGAGTGACTGACGTTGCACAATGATGCACTGGGGATGCCAGGAATAGAAAAACCAACAAACTCCGGGCTTGTTTCAAGGATAGAGAGGTTATCGCTCTTGTAGTTCATGTGTTGCAAAACTGGAAGAAATTGCGGTTGACTCTCCAAATAGTATTTAAATTGATGTGGGGGAGGAAAAAAAATACGTGCACCAAATAGAGAGAGCAGCAGAACTCTGACATACCTAGTGTGGCTGTTAGAAGCCGTGCGTTTTGTCTCTTCATAGTATGCAGGTTTGTTTTCCCTTCCCTCCCCACCACATTCATCTTGTTTAATTTTGAACACTCCCAATATGCAGTAGAAATGTTTGTAATCAAAGCTCCTGAACGGAGTACAAGGGAAATCTTTCTGAAAGTTTATGACTGTTGTCATAGGTAGCTTTTTACTGCCAAAATAAGCAATTCTGAAATGCTCAGTGCAAAAGTTTTCCTGTTCCAAAGAAACCAAATGTTCGTGACTATAAAAAAAAAAAAAAAAAAAACCCAACCCAAAAAAAAACCCACCCCCCCCCCCCGTGTTTCCTTTCATGGAGCAGATGGCATGAGTGTTCTGTTGTTGGTGTACCCTCAAGAGCACCAAATCCAGCAACTCAAGAAGGATAATGCTGAAAAGCGTCTTGTAACAAAATGGGATCTTACTCTTTCCTCTAGAGCGGAGGTTTGGGCAAAATGAACATTCCAGTTCTGTCGGACCTCACCAAACAAATCTCCCGTGATTACGGTGTGCTGCTAGAAGGACCTGGCATAGCACTGAGGTAATGATTGCCGATAGCTCTGTTACGACACAACCCAGTCCAGAACAACGTGAGCCATGCTGTCTCCTCCTGCAGAGGAAGCTGCCCAAGGATCAAGTGAAGGCTGCGAGATGTTCCTTTTTCTGCAGAACTTCTGCTGGATCCCACCTCAGGAAAAGGGCACGGGGCCATTATGGCCGTTGAGAATGCATGCAGGGGAAAGCCAGGTGTTCCGCGCCGAGTGAGCGGGAGAACTCCATGTTGCTAAGGAGAACAAGCGTAGGATAGAAGAGCATTTTACAGTTCTTTAGAGTTTTTCCACAATTTAGGTCTGTCCCTCTTTCCTTTTTTTTTTGTTTTGTTTTGTTTTCTTTCTTCTGAAGGGAGAATAGACTGCCTTAACTTCTGTGTGAGAAGTTTCTAAAGTGGTTGGCTGAGAAGCCGCTACAGTCAATCCCATAATTATCTAAAATTAAAAAAAATTGTCATTTCCTTCCGCACCATGGGAATACTTAGTAAAAGCAAATAGTGGTCCCTGAGAAGCATTGCATTGGGTAGGAGTCTTCTGGAGACCTTTGGTTCCTGATCTCTTTGAATCAGCAAATTCTGGCATTTGTTTGTTGACAAATTAAGTTAATTAGTATGGTAAGACTGGGACTTTGGCTTTCACAAATGTTTGTGTGCAACAGTATTTAATTCAGTAGCTCAATGTGTGAGCAGCTCTTCACTGAATACCTTCAGATTTTCATATCAAAAAGACATGGGAAGGATGCCAGCTATCAACTTTGAGACACAGGTGGAATTAGAAGTTCTGCCTTTGTTATATCCCATCTCGATTTAGCGGTCTTTGTGCATGCTTTGTAACTTCACGGCACCGTTACCAGTTGACTGGTTCTTGGCTCTTGATCACTTCACTAACAAACCACATACCAAACGCTGAATTGCTACTCCCGACTCCAAGACGTGTGCCTAAGGACAACTACTTTGCTGAAATAGTTCATCCAGTGTCTTGTGTTTGGTCTTGGAACATGACTTGCATACGCTAAATTCTTGCTCAATTACAGAGGTCTCTTCATCATCGATCCAAATGGGGTCATCAAGCATCTGAGTATCAATGATCTCCCCGTCGGTCGTAGTGTGGAAGAGACCCTCCGCTTGGTGAAGGCATTCCAGTACGTGGAGACGCATGGAGAGGTTTGCCCGGCAAACTGGACTCCAGACTCCCCTACGGTAAGCCTCTGCTAAATACCACTTTTCTAAATATAGGCACGGGCGTATTTACACGTCTGGAGGGCTGAGAACCACTTTAACGTGAGGTGCTTGATTGAGTCTGTGCCTGTTGTCTACACCTGAGGCTTTTATCTGTTGGACCAGTTCAGTCTATTTGAATGCTAATGTGTGATTTCTGTGAAGAAAGTCACTGATATTCTTTTAGAGGACACAAATTATATTTAAAACTCTAAACTTGACTTGCACTGTCCACCGGTTGTCTTCAGATTTTTTTACTTATTTAATGCCTTGCTTCATATTTAGCAGGAAAAATATGTTACGTACTCAAAGTTTGCAAGTAGGAGCTTGTACATTATTTAGGCTTTCATCTTTCAACCAAGTGCAGGAACAGAAATAACCTGTTGTTTTGATAAAGTATGCATGGATTTTCTTCGATGAAGTGTCAAATCTGTAATTTTTTTATCTTAGTTATAGCATATAATAACTAAACTTTCTTTTCTTGACAGATCAAACCAAACCCAGAAGGCTCTAAAGAATATTTCGAAAAAGTGCATACATAAACGCTCAAATATGTGGACAACTCTTGGTTACCGTAAACTGAAGACATTAGGAAAGCAGCTGTGATTATTAAAAAAAAAAAAAAAAATCAAAGTTCTCATTTTTCTCATGTTTAAGAAGAAATTAAATGCTGAACTATTTACTGACTCCTTGTCTTGCTTTAAGAAGGGTAAAATCTAAGACTCCCCCCACCCCTTTTGCAACTTCAGTTTCATGAATTTCTGCGACTGCTAGTCTTCTTCCTGAATATGACAAGCACGTGAAATACAGTTGTCTTACACTGTATTTTTCCTCTTTCCATAACTAGCTTTGGGCCTGAAAGTGTCCTGCATTTTCTTCGCTAACATGAAAAAAACAAATCCTGTGTCAAGAGTTTGAAACAATGGGGACAATACAGAAAATAGAGTTTTGATACGTGCTTTGTTTTTAATGAATTTTGCGGAGGAAGAGATGAATGTAACAAGTGAAAAATAAAAACCACCCTGGTTTTGTGTGTAAATGCACTATTGACTTGAAATGAATGTAAATAGGTGCCATTTTATTCCTGCGTATAGTCAAAGACGCAGTGCAGCTACGCAGGCGCGTTAACAAGCAGGAAGAACTTTCATTCTGCTTGGGAGATGGTAAAAACTTGAACCCCAACAGTGTGCTTACTGGAGCTTAATGACAGTCTTCCACCATTTAAAGCATTGCTTGTTTGCTTGAACCTGTCTCCAGGAAAAACTTCAAGGTGAAATGTTGTACTGCTTGAAAACAATGTGGCTTATCTAGCTGTAATAATAAATCTTAACATTGACCACCAGCAGGTGTGTTGCTTTGCTTTTCTGTCATTCTCTTCCACAAAGATTCCTGTTTCTCTGTTTTGAAGAAGTTTGATAAGATGCATCACCTTGGAAACCGTGTTCTATACCTTTGTTCACAGCAAGCAGTTAACAGCTGGCACTGCCTTTGTGTTGTACCGTGGTGAGCAGGCCAGACAGTAAGGAGCGGCTGTGCTGCTGAGGGCTGGATCAGTCAATGCAATACTGAGTGGGTTTGTATTTTTCATCTGCCCTTTTCAGGAGGTGAAAGGACTTAAAAACAGAAGCACAAGGGAACCACCTTGGCAAAGCGGCCGTTGTGTCCTAAGTTAGCTTTGTGAGAGGTATCAACGCTGCGATGTAAGTGACAGGATGAAAAAATGAGCTTGATGCTGTGCAGGGCCTGGTGATGCTCCAGGTTTCGGTACTTGCAAATCTCTCTTCAGTCCCAGTAGTTCAGTTCTGTTTTGTGTACATCCACAGCACCCATGCAATTCTTCCAATAAACCTGTGCCCCATGGACCTACAATACGTGAAGTTAAGGCCCTGCACAGCTCAGTAATGCAAAATAACACGCTGGTGGGGGTGGTGGCGGCCGCTGTTTGTGAAGCTGTTAGGGCAGTGACACTGACCTTTTACCTAGCTGTGTCCTTCTCCTGCCTTAGTCATTTCAAGTCAACGTGGAGGACGCAGGGGGGAAACTGCTGGAAGGGGAAAAGGCGATCGGCCATTTCCTAACCACGACCCGCTCCCCACCC